AGTTATATTTATAAAAAATCATTACTCTATTTATTAAATTTAATTAGTGCAGAACAACAAATTTTAATAGTATGGTGTGGTAGGTTACTTTTGCACTAATGTAGTGGGAAGTGGTATGTAATTAGGTGCTTAATTAGGTCTTATTTCTCTAAATTCTAAGTTAGTTTAACACGTAAAAATCAACTTAGTTTTCAGCTACTTATTATTAATTTTACTCATGTTTCTATTCTCTTAAGTTCATTCATAAGCTTAACCAAGTTACTTAAGTTAATCCATAGGTTTAGTTAACTCACTTGGCTTAAAGAGTTCTCATAATTTTCTTAAAATGTTTAAAATATTTTAATAATCAGTTTTGCTCTCAGAGTTACTCGTAAGGACAATGAGCTAAGTAGAGAGAAATCATAAAATTCTAAAAAAAAATCCTATAACCTTAGAATAATATTTTTAACATATTTATATTTTAAAACATCGGTATATTATGTGTTTCGTTGAAAAAAAAAAGAATCCTTAACTCTGAAAAACTATTCGTTTATTCAAGCATTGAATTAATATTTAAATTTTCACTCAATGTCTTTTATTTTAAGACTATAATAATAATATTTACAAACAATTATTATGAACGGTTAAAAACAATAATATAAGTTAATAATTCCAAAAAAAAAATGTGAAGTAACATTATAAGCTTATTTCTTTGCTCAAAATATTATTTTATATAACTCTCAAATTATCGAGTATTTATTTCACGACATTATCCTTTCTAATTTAATTTATTTACTAAAATAAGTTCAAATTTTATCCACAAATTGTTGAAATTGTTTTAATTCTTAAGTATCCAAGTCTAAAATAAATTGTAGTATTGTTTTTAAATATCTTTGGCAATCATTTAGACTTTCCAAGTGCAAGTTCCAACTAATATTTCAAGACAAATTTTTTCTTTCAAGAATTATAAATCTCTGAATTCTTAATAGAAATCATTGGATAATTAATTACATATTAATTATTAAATAATTACTTATGTGTATTTTGAGGGCATTACAATGGGAAATATTATCTTAACATATTTAATGAAATAATCCCTAAGATTTTTGTTAGCTGAATTTAACATAATCTTAAAGCCATTTTACTCATTTGCTAGACAAATGACCTTATTTTGACTAACCCTCAAGATAGTTGATCCCAATATATCATTTCATTCAATTTGACTATTGATAAATGAAAGCCCAAACAAGTTAATCAATTCAACTTAACATTAAATATACTTATTGATAGTCGAATAAACAATCGAAGCAAGTATGTCCAACTATTGGGATGAAGTTATAAAGGAGTAATGTTGAGATCTAACAACATTTCGATGGTAAAATTGTTGAAAGGAAGCCGAACTCTCAAAGGTTTGAAGAAGCACTTGTACATAAAGAAGAAGTAGGCTTCATCGTCATCCCCTTCCAACATACTTGGTCTTTGGCTAGGGACCTTTGAACCTCTATTAAATCCCCCTTACCAATCTCCACAATGTTGATGTGTTGAAGAAAGTAAATGAGTAAAGATTGGTTTATAAATTTGGAAGGGTAATCAAACACTTTATCTAAAACCCAAGTTGAGTACTCATGCGTTTTCATAACAAAACCCACTCAAGTGTTTGGAGCTAACATGAGGTTTGAATTTTCAATGTTGGGAGATCCCTCCTGATTCTCGTCTTCATCCCCATCAATGTTAATGGGTACCCCGACAATTAAGAGAAACTTTACCTTAAAAGAGGTTATCAGGGCACTAGAGGTCTCAAAAGATGAAAAACTAAAGGGAGAAGAACTAGAAATGACATTAACCTCCATACCACTGAATAATGGAGACTCAATACTATCACTAGAACTCATAAAGGAAGGGAAGAAGGTGTACATGGTGTAAGTACTTGATTTTTTGAAGGATGAAGGACTTAGGTACTTGGTGTGTTTGGGAGTCAGAGGTTGTAGGTAAAGTTATAATGAAGTAAAATGAACCTATTTATAGGCAAAATGCACCCCGAGACACGAAGCTTTGTATCTCCCAAAACCATTGGATCTTTTCAAGATCAATGGTTCAAAGAGGCATGACCCTTCGCATTCTAGGAGATGTTACACGCCTATCTAGAGCCTCTAGAACTTTCCTAGGATTTTTAACACACCGTCATTACACTTGATGTCTTTACAAAAAGTGCAAGAATATTTGAAAGGCAACAACTTTTGAAATAAATTCTTCTCCCATTTGTCAAAGACTTGAGGGGCTTGTGTATTGGAGACATCTCGGGGTCAGTAACATATTGACTCCCAAGTACTAATTGCTTGGAAATATTGTGTGTACCCGACATCCAACATCGTGACTTGTAGGAGAAATTGGGCATAACTCGACCTTGATAAATGCGTCATAACATTCGGTCGTTACAAAGCAATAAAAGTTATTGAATACACTTAATAAGCAAAACATCAATGATAACTTTTCTTTATATATAAATATGTCTACATCATCATGCGGTACAAAAAAATATATACTTGATAGCTTCGAGTACTTGCTAACTTTGACATCAGAGTCTCTTTTATAGGTATAAATCACCTGATCTTCAGAGACCGAGGACTACCAAGTCGAGGACCAAGAAGTCAAGAAGGATCATCATTTGAAGATTTCTTGTACCTATTTCTCAACAAGAACACCTTACTTCCAACTAATTCTCATTTTTTTTCTTAAAAACTCATTTAGCTAATTTTAGGTGCTAATAATTTCATACCTTTGTGAAGCACTTAATCAAATATGTTAGTAATCACACATAACCTCAACAAAATTATATTTTGTCTTATGAACATTTGTAATAATTAAATTAAGGGTTTGAATTCAAAAACAATTTAAGATGAAAGATATTGGAAGCTAAAATAGTTCCTTGTAATTAAGGTTGCTTACCCAAAAAGGTGTCATCTCATCTCAATGGAAATATGTCTCTAGTCTTCTTAATGAAATATGCTAGTTGTGATGCAAAGTTGCTAGAATACCTATAGAAAAAGAACATAATCATTTTATTGGGAATGAAAAAAAAGTCCAACAATAAACAAAGCTCAATGTAAAAGAGTTATAGAGAAGTTTACTTATTTCACCAACACGACTTGACAAAATTTATGCAAATCCATGATAAAAGAGTAGTCCAATGATTAGATTGTTTCTTAAGATAGGGCAAGCTATTACTAAGATGTATACAAATGCAAATTGTGTTGGGGAAATTGTTGATAGAAGTTCCACCTTAGGATATTGTATGTTCATTGGTGATAACTTGGTAACATGGACGAGCACACAAAACATGGTTACAAGGTTAAGTGCAAAGACAAAGTTTAGAGCTATGACTTAAGGAATTTGTGAATTGTTATAGATGAAGATCATACTTAACGAGCTCTTAATTAGGTGAATGCTCCTATGTAACTACTTCGTTACAATAAGTTTGTCATTAGAATTTCCCATAATTTGCTTTAGCATGACAATGAAACATAGTAATAGAGTAATAGCATAGCATTTTATCAACAAAAAAAAATTAGATAGCGTCCTTGTAACTATTGCACATGCTCCTTGATGACTTCAAATAACAAATGTACTAACTATGAAGGATTTCTCAAAAAATGATTTCAAGATCTCACTACTAAGCTAAGAATGATTGATATTCATTCACTTGTTGAAGAAGTGTATTGTAACATTATTTTATTTCCTCATCTATTGTTTGTATAATTTTTTATCTTATTTTCTAGTTAGAATGAGTTGTTCATTATTTAGATATTTGTTGTCTGAATTACCAAGTTAACCTTAATTATTAAGTCTATATCTTTAATATTTAGACATTGAAGTAGTCATTTCAAAATAATATACATATTCAATCCTATTTTTCAAGTACAAGGATAGGTTAAAAAATGACGAGTTTAATATGAAAAATGTTACTGATGGGCAATATTAGACAAAAGAAAAATCAAGGAGATGAAAAAGTGTAAGGAAATTAACATTCAACAACAAAAAATGAAAGAAATATCTTATAAAAATGTAGGATGATGAGGATTATATACACTACAAAAGGGATATTGAGGTATTTTGAGAAGATAAATACTAGTCACACTTACTCTAATACTTTTTTTTTTGCTAATATTCTCTATTTTGGATTGAAAATTAAAATTTTTAATTGATTTTATTACTAAATCAAAAGAGACTTATTAAATGAAAGGCATAACTCAAAAATTTTTGTGACTTTCAATAAATCTTAACTAATAATAAAGAAACAATTAGAAAAGTAGTTTTATAAAGTGTACCGTTAACATCCCTATTTTAGATTTAGAAACAAAGTGCAGACCAACTTGGCTTTTGGATTACTCTTCCTTATCCTGGATATTTTACTTTCTCAATGTTCTACATTTTTCCTATGTTATGTTTTTAGATTTTCATAGGTTTGCATTGGTTGTATGAAAGTTATTCCACATTTGCAGTAGAATATAGTTGCATTTCTAATTTCTATTAGTTGCATATTATCTTCAAATCAAGACAGGGTGTTATTATTGTTACCACTAACACTAGAATGTTATTGTTGTTGGAAACTCTATAAAATTCATTTGTAAAGTGAAATTTACCTCCAACTTATAAACTTCTTGTTTGTTGCATCTCTAGACGATATGAAACATGAATTTTTTCCAACATAAATCCTAAAAAAAATGTTAGTCATATTATTAATCGGTGAGATCAAGTCACTTTGTACTTCTACTTTATTTTAAAAAATTTAAAAATAAAATATACAAATTGAGGTTAAATAATAAAATTGGTGATTAATAATTTGAGGATCGGAGAGGTTACAGGTTATTAACTTATTTGAGTGATTAGAATAAAGTAATTTTCAACATTTTTTTATTATTTAAAGATAAAATCATCTGAAAATAAAAAAGACAAAGCAATTATAAACCGATTTATCCCCTGTATATAGAGGTATACAGGTATAGATTTAATACATCCATGGATATCATAGAATTGATGTACTAGCACCTGCTATTTATAATAAGCGAGAAAGAGAAAGAGAATTGCGGCCTCACATTACATGGCAGAAATGAGAACTAAACAAGAAAGAGAAAGGAGCAACCAATACAATCACTATGGTAGCATTTAACAACGTAAATTTGAATATTTTTCAATATGGCACTTAGTTCTACACTTACTATTTACATAGTGAACTTCACAACGTGTAGCAACTTGGCCTTTATTGCAAGTGAAAACCAGAAAAGCCTGTTTTGCTTGGGCTGAAGAGGCAGTCAGATACATAGATGACATGATTTAGGCCTCTGCATTTTCCTCATCCTCAATGTCATCAATTCCAACCCAGCGTGTAAAAGCAAAAAGAAACTCCTTGAAGTTCACCATTCCATTTTTATCCCAATCCATTTCTTCTGCAGAATTTTGCAAATAAAACAAAATACTTATTAGTATATAAATACTACTTGGGAAGGAAAAAGAAAGATAAGATTGCTTTAGTTGTTACTGTATGGAAGTCTTGCCTTGGAATGAAGTTTTAGAATGAGTTGAAGCACAATGGTAGTTTTTTTCATTATTAAAGTAAGTAAATTAAAAAACTAAGATCCAACAAATACACCTGACATTTTAAAACAGTTCTTTATTTCATGCAATACTACCGACTAGAAACAGGAATATAACTGATAAATAGACAACCACTGCAGTAGAAGGAATACAAGATACCTACAATGACCTGAGTTTCTTAAATCTTCCCTTCTCCTAATGTTTCCAAGAAGTATGTTATGATCTAGCCTGAAGACTTAACGCAATTGGCGTTCTTTGTTTTTGATCAATTTGAAGGCACTCACTTTTCTTGTGAAAGAATGTTAAATCATATTATTAATATCTAACGCACCCTGTGTTAACATGACTACATGTGCGTGCCTGTGTTTAAGCAAGCTTGAAAGCCCATTTGAGTTAATATACATGTTATTTACACTAAGCAAGCTTGAGTTTATATGCATGTTATTTCCACATAAAGGAAGAAGGAGAGACAACTGACCAAATCTTTTCATGGCTATTCTTCCAGAAGAACGCTCCCCTGATGTAGTTTCATTTATAGCTTGAACCATCTCATTTTTGCTGACATATCCATCCTTGTTTTTGTCTAAGAATACAAATGTATCAACCAAAGTCTCAAATGTGGCCTCCAGATTTGGCATCCCAATTCGTGATTTCTAGGGAAGTCATTGAAAACTATTTGAAGAGGTAGCGAAACATGGAAATTCAAGGCTTATTGTTATCAAAGCAAAGATGAAGGAAACCATGACAAATATTTAGGTTGTCCTTAAGAAATGCATGAATATTCAAGGCTTATTGTTATCAAAGCAAAGATGAAGGAAACCATGACAAATATTTAGGTTGTCCTTAAGAAATGCATGAATTAGAAAATCATGTCCATAACAAAAATATATCAATGAACATATAGAACTGAATTGTTCATTAAGTCCAAACATCTCCTGATTAAATAAATGATTGGATGCATAAAGCTTCAAAAAGACAAGAGGAATCTACATTCAATTCTCAATAGTTAAATGTATAATGACCCCAACTAATTTAAATATCAATCAGAGGTTAAGAGCACATAAGAGCAGGTTACTAGTTTATCTTTCAAAATTGAATTGTTCAAGAATCTCCCCTTATATTGCATAAATAGCCTCATATGGTAATGAAACTAATATGGCACAGATGTGGGCCAGGATACAGCGTGAAGAGCTGCAGGGTCATCCTTCAGAAGGTAGACAAGGCAAAGAAGTACAATAAACTCATTGAATTTCATCCCCATATCATCATTAATATCACATGCTTCAAAAAGATCATTTATCTCCTCCTCGGTAAAAGAAATTTCCAGCTTACTGAAACACTTTTTCAACTCCTCCGGGTCTATTGCCCCATTAGAATCCTCATCTATAAGAAAAGTCATAAACACAAAACTCTTAGCCATTATAATAATTATAAATATCAATTTGAGTGGGCATGCAATGGTGACAACAATGTTGTGTTAGAAATCTTTGCTGTTCAGCTAAAGCCTATGAATGAGCTCAATCAATGGTAGTTACGTTACGACCACAAAAGTAAGCAATATTTGTCAGTTGCAGTGTATACTAAAATCTAATTGAATTTCAATAAACATTTAAGTATTTAAAGGATTAGCTGAAGCTTTTCATGACATAGGAAAAATAAGAATGATTCCAAGAAGACAGTTACTGCTTACTTTTACTTTGAAATGGCATCTGTGGTATCTACTTTCTCAGGGCCATATTTTTCATTTACAGCATTTGAAGGCTTTTGTTGGAATGTATCAAATCTATATACCAATTTAACAAAACCATATATTTGAAGTGGAACCTACCAAACTGCTCAAATATGGCTTTGCATTTTCTAAGGCTCTCATCAATCTTTGGGAATTTCAATATTATAGTGTTGAATGATTTCACAGAACTTCCTTGAGATTCCCTCCGCTGCATTGCTTCAACCATTTTAGCCTCAACCTTGGTTTCTGGCATCCAACCCTTTTTGGGTGAATCATCCTTTCCCAGTGCACCTCCCATTGCCGATCAATAAGCCAGAAATGGTGCCGCTAGTAACTGTCATGTAAGAGTGAAAAAAATGAACAACAATGTAAAAATGAATTCTCACTCACTATCTCTTAATATACATGATTATGTATTTTTCTTAGTCACAAATGATAATAATAGTTAGACCCTTTTCTTGATCCTTTAAGTATATCATTGCTTAGGATCTATCATAAGTGTCAATTTAAAGTGTCCCAAATTGTGGTGTAACGAATTTTTAACAAGTTTCTAAGCCCTTCATAATCAAGTATCTTTGGTCAACATGAAAATTGTAGTATAACAAATGAAAAATATCTTTTTCTTTGAAAAAAAATTAAAGAGAAACAAATGGGGCATGTGAGGAGAAAATCAGTTTCATCCGATTGTGTTAGGATAACATGCCCTAAAACCCAAATGGTTAAATACAGAGAGAGAATCGGTCATGGGCATGTTATTACAGTCGATTCTTTCAAGAATATATACTTGATAGAGACTAAAACGGTTTTTTTTTTTTTTTTAAATTAATAGATTTAACCTACCTACATCTGAATTACATTCAAATAAACGAAATCAATGAATTTGAAAGCTTGCAAAAAGGAAGAGCGTGTAAGGGAGAAGCAACATGAATTGTGAATAACAAACATTTAAAGTAATATTAACTAGAATCGAAACAAATAAATAACAAATAAAGAAAGGAAAGAAAGCATCTTAAAATCAAATGAAGAAAGAAAGACATGAAAATACAAAGCGTACCCTATGAGCAGAGAGAGAAAAGGAGCAGGAGCTTCCAAGCTCCTTGAAGTGAAAGAGAAGGGGATCAAGAGAAACAGTGCAGATCCAAGAACTCAAGGAAGAAGAAGAAGAAGTGGTTTCTGGGTGATGCGTAGAAGAAAGATGCATGAAGAGAAAGAAGAGAAGAGAAGAAGCAGAAGGTTGAATGAATATAGAAAGAATACCAAACTTAGGAAAGTGAGTTTTGTTAACTCATTCTGGGCATAGCCTATGTTTCTGCTGCTCCCACCACGTATTCTCGATCTTAGCGCATCATTTTCTAAATTTTTCAATTATATTAGTATATATCTTCACATTATTAAATATGAGGGATCCAAACACTTTATACCTATTGTCTTTGATGTAATGACTAATGAGTATGAGTATATTAATTTTATTTTACTACTACCTTTATCTTGTACTAAGCGTTATACAAAAAGAAGGAAAAAAAATAGTTTAAAAATTTATGATACTTTAGTTTAAGGGGAACTTCAAAAAAAATAAATTAAAATAAAAATAAGATAACATTTAGAAAGTAACACAAAATGACATAATTCTTGTATGGATCGTTTGATATAGATTATAATAAAGGTGTCACTTTCAACCATAAAAGTCAAGAAAGACAGCACAACGGGATGAAAAGTTCTTGGTAAGTCAGAATTTTGGTTTGGCCCAAAACTTAGAGTGCTTTTTCAACACAAGTGTTTGTTTTAAATTCAAGTTTTCCTTCAATGATTAAAAAAGGTTTCTATTATTAGATTAAGATATTGTGAAGTTAGCAAAAATCATACAGAAGGGGGGTTGAATGGGGGTTGAATGTGTATGTGAACGAAGGAATTTTGAAAATTATTTTGGCAGAGACTATTTTTCGTCTAAAAATATTATTTTGATCACTTAAAAAGTGTGCAAAGTTGGCTCAACAAATATTTTGCGTTTGAAAGTTGATCGCCTGCACAAGGAAAGTGTCTCTTAAAATAATAGGTTAAATAAGTGTATTTTTCGTTTGAGGATAGTTGCAGTAAAAAAGATTTAGCAGTGGACGAAATTTTCAGTATGATATATAAGCTAAACAAAAATTGTGTCTGAAGAATAGATAAGAAGTGCAAAGAGTTTTATATTGGTTCGCTCGACTTGAGCTACGTCCAGTCTCCTTCAACCGAAGGGTTTCACTAATCACAACGGATTACAAGTATTATCAGCCACTTCTGGTTCGTCAACTGCACTCGTCAATCCTAGTATTCTTAAACCACTTCTGATTCTCCAAGTATTATCAACCATTCCTGGTTCGCCAATTTCACTCGTCAGCGCTAGTATTCTTAAATCACTTCTGGTTCCTCGAGTATTATCAACCACTCCTGGTTCTCCAAGTATTCTTTCAACTAGCCTCTTTAGGCTTTATAGTAGATAGATGGTTTGAGTGTGTGTATAACTCTCACAGAGAGGATAGGATAGTTTCTACACTCGCTAAGGTATGCAACCTTAGTTTTACAAAGATGTGTGTTTGAGTGTGTATGTTACTCTTACAAAAAGGATAGGATAGTTTAAACACTCACTAAGATAAGTTATTTTAGATCTACACAGATATACAAGATTGTACAGGAAGAGATTTAACGTTCGCTTTTGCTTATTGCTCGTTGCTTCACTTCTCTTCTTTTCTTGTTAAGTCTTGATATTTATAACCTCGTGATTAATTTGCCCATTGTGTACTTTGGAGCGGAGCTTCTCGTTGGCATAGATAGTAGTTTGTTTATGGCCATATAGATCTTTCATTTAATGCATTTGATCTTGCATTAAATGTTTGCTTGTCAAATCTGTGTTATGTGAAGTCTTTTGCATAGTTTGTTCACTTTTATGTCTGACTTCAATCATAACCTCGGTATATCTGTTCTCTTTTCGTCATTGTAGCTGCAAAGGTGTTGTCTTTTTCTAAAAACTAGGTGTACTTTCTCTAATACACGCAGCTTTGACTTGTGGATTCGTGCTTATCTATCTTTCTTCTTTCTTCTCACAATTTTGATGACTTAGTGTGCCTTCTATGAGTGTAAACGATATATGATATCTCTCATTGTGAATAGTGAACTTCAGATGCCTTTCAGTATTCTTCGTCTGCATCTGGAATTTGAGTCTCCGTCTAAGAGGTAGACTTTGACTTTTCCTTTCGTCTAGTTTATCCTTTCCTTTTGTCGGGTTTGACTTTTCCTTTCATCTGGTCAGTTGTGAAGATGGAAGACTTTAATTCTGTCTGGAATGTTTCTTCGTCTTGTGTTATCCATCGTCTGATACTTTGTTGACCTTTGACTGGTAGTATGCCTTGTCTTGTATGTGTTGTATTTTCGTCTATCTTTTGATCGTCTGATGTTTTGTACAACTCAACCAGGCTTCGTTTAGTTTGACCATAGTATGTGTAATAACACATACTTCGTTCTTCAGTTTTGCCTATTTTTATATTTATCTAAAACACTAACACATATGTTATAAATAACAATATATATTATATTTTTCATGTTCAAAACCTTGTTGGGAATTTCTTTGTCTGACTTGACAATCTTCTCCTTTTTGATGATGACAAATATAATATATAAATTTGTTTAAAATAAAATATAACATAAATATAGTTTTATGCATATCAAACAGTTTATCAAGTTCATGCATTTCATATCATATATTAGAGCAATCACTAGGCATTTAAGAGTTTAGGGTTCTAAGGCTCTCCCCCTTAGTATATGCTCTCCCCCTCACTTGATTATCCCTTAGACAAGTTTGATAGATACTTTCCTACTTCTCCCCCTTTGTAATCATAAAAAAGAAATAGGGGTAGACAAAATAGTAGTTTATTGGTCACCTATCAGTTCCATTCCTAGCCTATCTCTTAGCCAGATGTATCTATCTTCTTGAATGGGCTTGGTAAAGATATCTGCTATTTATTCTTCTATTTTAACATATATGAGTTCAAAGGTTCCTTTTTGTACATGATCTTTAATGAAATGATGTTTATATATATATGTGTTTAGTCCTAGAATGCAAAACAATATTTTTAGAGATGCTAATTACAACAGTGTTATCACAAAGTACAAGAATACTACTCTTATAGATGTCGTAGTCCTCTAACTAATGTTTGATCCAAAGCAATTGCGTGAAGAACTGTTCTGCGGCAACATACTCAGCTTTGCAAGTTGATAAGGCAATCGTGCTTTGCCTTTTGCTAGCCCATGATACTAAGAATCGTCCAAGAAAATGACATCCTCCGCTAGTGTTTTTTCTCTCCCATCTGTCTCCTGCGTAATCTGCATCACAATATCCTAATAGAGAAAAATTCTAGCTTCTATAGAAGTTGATTCCTAGGTTAGCTGTTCCTTTAAGATATCTTAAAATACGTTTAACAACTTGTAAATGTACCTCCTTAGGTCTTACTTGAAATCTAGCATAGACGTAGATGTTGAACATAATGTCAGGTCAGGATGCTGTTAGATACAAGAGTGAACCTACCATTCCTTGGTACATGGTGCTATCTACGTCTGGTGAATCTTCATCCAAACCAAGAGTTATTGATGGATGCATTTGAGTATTCATTGGTTTTGCATCTTCCATCTTATACTTTTTCAGCAGCTCTTTCATATATTTTGTTTGATGAATTTTGATCCCTTCGTCTGACTGGACGATTTGAAGTCCTAGGAAGAACTTTAGTTCTCCCATCATGCTCATTTCAAATTCATCCTACATAAGCTTGGAAAATTCTTGGCAAAGATTTTCGTTAGTAGCACCAAATATTATGTCATCTACATAGATTTGAACGATTATGAAATCATCTTTTAGTTCTTTTCTAAATAGGGTGCTGTCGATTTTTCCTCTTGTGGAATTTTTATTTATTAGAAAAGAGCTTAGTTTCTCATACCACGCTCGTGGTGCCTGTTTTAGTCCATATAATGCTTTGTTTAATTTGAAAACATCTGATGGTAGCAAATCATTTTCAAAACCAGGGGGTTGGCTTACATAAACTTCTTCTGAAATTTTTCGGTTTAAAAATGCACTTTTAACGTCCATTTGATATAATTTCATACCAGTACATGCAGCAAAAGAAAGCAGTATTCTAATAGCCTCTATCCTAGCAACTGGTGCAAAAGTTTCGGTAAAGTCAATACCTTCTTGTTGTGAGTACCCTTTTTCAATTAACCTGGCTTTGTTCCTTACAATATTTCCTGATTCGTCCAGTTTGTTTCTGTACACCCATTTCGTACCAATGATCGTTCTATCCTTTGGTACTAGAACGAGTTTCTAGACGTCATTTTTCTAGAACTAGGTGAGTTCTTCGTGCATGGCTTGAACCCAACTTTCGTCTGACAAAGCTTCGTCTGTGGTTCTTGGTTCAACCTGGGACAACAATGCAATCTGTGCTTGTGTTTTGAATGAGCTCCTAGTCCTTACTACATCCTTTGCTTCACCAATGATCTGCTCTTGTGGATGATGAGTTTTCATCTGCCAGTTTCAATTGACTGGTTCTCTTTCCTCTCTTTCATCCTGTTGAACTTTAGTTTTTTCAGACTCATACTTCTTTGTCTGGTCTTTATTCACCTGTATGTTCTCAAAGAAATTTCCTAGCTCTGATATTTCTTTATGAGGCTTGTTTTCATCAAACTTTACGTGAATAGCTTCCTCAATAGTTCTGGTTCTGTTGTTGAAGACTCTATAGGCTCTTGACCTTTCAGAGTATCCAAGTAGAATATCCTCGTTAGTTTTTGAGTCAAATTTGCCTAAATTATCTTTAGTGTTTAAGATAAAGCATTTGCATCGAATGGATGAAAGTATGAAATGTTGGGTGCTCGTCCCTTCCACAATTCATAGGAAGTTTTTTTCAAAATAGGCCTAATATATATTCTATTTTGAATGTAGCAAGAAGTATTAACTGCTTCTGCCCAGAAGTGTTTGGGGGTTGAAAAATCATTTAATAAGGTTCTGGCCATTTCTTGTAAAGATCGATTCTTTCTCTCTATAACTCCATTTTGTTGTAGAGTTCTAGGTGTTGAAAAATTATGTTTAATTCCATTTTCTTCACAAAATTCTTGAAACTGTTCATTTTCAAACTCTCCCCCATGATCACTTCTTATAGTTGCAATTGATATTCCTTTTTTCATTTTGAACCCTTTTATAGAATACATAAAATACCTTGAAGGACTCATCCTTGTGGGTTATGAACAATACCCATGTCCATCTGGTGTAGTCATCAACGATGACTAGTTCATACCTTTTACCACTGACAGATGCAGTCCTGGTGGGACCGAATAGATCTATGTGGATCAGTTCAAGAGGTCTTGAGGTGGAAACATGATTTTTACTTTCGAACGAACTTTTAACTTTTTTCCCCTTTTGACATGCTTTACATAAACTATTCGTTTGGTAGACAAGACTTGGTAGACCTCTTACGAGGTTATGCTTTTTCAGCTTTGAGATTAATCTCAAGCTCGCATGACCAAGCTTCTTATGCTAGAGCCACTGATTTTCATATGAGACTAGACAATCAACATTTTGATGTTCTAGCTCATTAAGCATTATTTTATACAGGTTTTTGCATCTATTAGCCGTAAATAATATGGATGAATCAGTTTGACTATCAGTACATTTATTTTTGTTGAAGGATACTTCATAACCACTGTCACATAATTGGCTTATGCTCAACAAGTTATGTGTTAATCCTTTGACATATAAGACATTATCAATGGAGATAGAGGAGTTGATACCTATTTTACCTATCTCATGATTTGTCCTTTCTATCCTCCACCGAATGTGACTTGCCTCCTTTCTTGGATTTGAGGTATAGGAACATAGACCTTTCGCCCGTCATGTGTCGCGAGTAGCCATTGTTCAGGTACCATGACTGGACACTTCTTTTCTTTGTTGAATAGATCTGTAACAGGTTTTATTTCAATCTTTGGTACCCAAATGGATTTGGGTCCATGAGTGTTAGCGTTTGAGGTTTTGGAATACCTCTTCTTGTGCATGTGACTGCACTTGGACGTAGAATGTACATGCTTCCCATAAGTAGAAGATGCAGATGTACTTGATTCATTTTCAGGTTTAGGTTCAACATATCCTATTCCTGATTTATCATTGCTGCTCCTAGAATATTTTAAAATCTCTTCAAGATTCTTAGTTCCTAGGGTGAACTGCCCACCTCTCTTCAGATGAACAAATTACGACTACTGGAAACAAAGAATGATCGCATTCTTTGACGCATGTCATATAGACATATGGGATGTCATAGAATAAGGAGACTACATTCCACTTGACGAGGTTGGCAAGGAGATACCTAAAGCATGGTGGAATGAAGATTTGTACTGAACTCCAAAGCCCGAAATGCACTCATGTGTGCTCTGTCTGAGGAAGAGTACACCAAAGTACATAGCCTCAACAGTGCCAAGCAGATGTGGGATACCCTAGCTCTAACCTATGAGGGATCCCTGGAGGTAAAACCCAACAAGCTAAGCTTGTTGGTTCGTAAGTATGAACTCTTCGAAATGGAAGAGAACGAGTCTATCCAAATTATGTTTGGAAGATTCCAAACTATTGTAAATGAACTCTCTTTTCTAGGTACAACTTATGATAATTTTGATCACGTTGACAAGCTACTTCATAGTTTACCCAGGAAGTGGAGACCACAGGTTATAGTCTTAATAGCGTCCAAGAACCTTGAAAAGCTCTCGTTGGAAGAACTCATAGGGTTACTCAAAGTCCATGAGCTGGAGCTACAACAAGATGACGCTGGAAGAAAATAGAAGTCCATTGCACTGAATGTGCAAAAGACAAAATCTACACCATCATCTTCAAAATCCTTAAAGGCGGAAGAAGCGTCTGATGAGAGTTGTGGTGAAGAAACATGTGGTTCAGATGACGAGATATCCTTCTAATCAAGAAGGATCCACTCTATGATCAAGAATAAAGGAGGGTCACATTGGAGAAAATTCAACAGAACTCCAAGAGATAAGGCACAACCAGTATGCTTTGAATGCAAGAGACCAGGATATTACAAAATAGAATGTCTAGAATGGAGAAAGAAAAGAAAAAGAGGACCTTCCACAAAAAGAAGAAGGCTATGATGGCCACCTAGGAAGATCTAGACACGACATCGTCTGAAGATGATGAAGAAGCAAATATATGTCTCATGGCAGACACAGACTAATCATCAGAATTTGATGATGAAAAGGTTAATGAATCTAACTTTAAAACTCTTCAGCATGCATATAATCAACTTTTATCTAAAAAATTATTTTGATCACTTAAAAACTATGCAAGGTTGGCTCAACAAAAATTTTGCGTCTGATTTATTGTCTCCACAAGGAAAGTGTGTATTAAAATAATAGGTTAAGCAAGTGTATTTTTTGTCTGAGGATAGTTGCAGTAAAAAAATTTAGCAGTGGATGAAATTTTCAGTATGATATATAAGCTAAACAAAACTTGCGTCTGAAGAATAAATAAGAAGTGCAAAGATTTTTATATTGGTTTGCTCGACCTGAGCTACGTCTAGTCTCCTTCAACCGAAAGGTTCCACTAATCATAACAGATTACAAGTATTATCAACCACTTATGGTTCGTCAACTCCACTCATCAACACTAGTACTTAAGCCACTTCTGGTTCCCCAGGTATTATCAACCACTCCTAGTTTGCCAACTTCACTTATCAGCAGTAGTATTCTTAAAACATTTCTGGTTCCCCGAGTATTATCAACCACTCCTGGTTCTCCGAGTATTATCAACCACTCCTAGTTCTCCAAGTATTCTTTCAACTAGCCTTTTCAGGCTTTACAGTAGATAGATGGTTTGAGTGTGTGTATAACTCTCACAAAGAGGAAATGATAGTTTCTATACTCGTTAAGGTATGCAACCTTAGTTTTACAAAGATGTGTGTTTGAGTGTGTATATTACTCTCATAGAGAGGATAAGATAGTTTCAACACTCACTAAGATAAGCTATCTAAGATCTACATAGATATACAAGACTGTACAGGAAGAGATTTAATGTTCACTTTTGCTTATTGCTCGTTGCTTCACTTCTCTTCTTCTTCTCTTGTTAAGTCTTAATATTTATAGCCTCATGATTAATCTGCCTGTTGTTTAAATTTGAAAGTTTACGTTAGAGCATAGCTTCCCGTTGGCGTAGATAGTAATTCGTTCATGGCCATACAGATCTTCTATTTAATGCATTTGATCTTGCATTAAATGTTTGCTTGTCGAATCTGTGTTACATGAAGTCTTTTGCATAGTTTGATCACTTTTATGTCTGACTTCAATCATAATCTAGGTATATCTGTTCTCTTTTCTTCAATATAGTTGTAGAGACGTTGTCTTTTTCTGGAAAATAGGTGTACTTTCTCTAACACACGCACCTTTGATTTGTGGATCCGTGTTTGTCTATCTTTCTTCTTTCTTCTCACGATTTTGATGACTTCGTGTGCTCTTCTATGATTGTAGATGATATATGATATCTCTTGTTATGAATAGTGGACTTCAGATGCCTTTCAGTATTCTTCGTCTACGTCTGGAATTTGAGTCTCCATCTAAGAGGTAGACTTTGACTTTTTTTTCATTTGGTTTGACCTTTCTTTTTGTCTGGTTTGACTTTTCCTTTCATCTAGTCAGTTGTGAAGATGGAAGACTTTAATTTTGTCTGGAATGTTTCTTCATCTTGTGTTATCCATTGTCTGATACTTTGTTGACCTTTGACTGGTAGTATGTCTTGTCTTGTATGTGTTGTATTTTCGTCTGTCTTTTGATCGTCTGATGTTTTGTACAGCTCAACTAGGGATGGCAAAAATACCCGCACCCGCGGGTATTTGTGGATAAAATCTGCTACGACTAATAAATGGACAGTCTAATTGGGTACCCGCAGATAATGGAGATGGATAATTTTTTACCCGTTTATAAACGAGGTGAGGGCGGGTATGATGGTATCCATACCCGTGAGTACCCGTTTAATAACATTTCTTAAATATCCTAATTATCCTTGTGCCACACAACCCTAAAACTACACTCTCTCATCTTATTTTTTTTTCATAGCCGCACAGCCCACACATTAGTCATCACACATTATGAGATTGAATTATTGTAACTTTGTGATATGAAACTTTCACTTACTCGTGAGATTAATGTGTTTTAAGTTATTGATTGTCTTGCTTTTTTATTATTATTTCAACAAAATTAACGTTAATTACAAGTTCAAAATTAATATTAAATTTTTATTTTTAATATTTCAATGACATTAAATATAAAATTAAAATTATTTGTAATATAATTTTTTAATTTCTTAAAAAATTTATAAATATTCATGGATATTCACGGATATTCAAGAAATTCATGGATACCCACTTAACGGATACTCGCACGGGTATGGGGCAGATATGAGGCCAATTTTTATCTGGCGCGGTGGGGACAGGTTTACCATTACCCGCCCCCATGGGGCCCCATTGCCATCCCTAAGCTCAACCAGGCTTCGTTTGGTTTGACCATAGTATGTGTAATAACATGTACTTCGTTCTTCAGTTTTGCCTGTTCTTATATTTATCTGAAACACTAACACATATGTTAGAAATAACAATATGTATTATATTTGTCATGCCCTCATTGCCCACATTTCTTGCATCGACTTGTAGGTGTAGAAATAGAGCCTCCTACACTAGCAGCACCACTCACGAAAGAGTTTCCAACAATAGATCTACTTCTACTCCCTCTAGAATGATTTCCTTGAAACTTGGCAGGAGCAGAGTAAGGCTTACTCCTACTCTGACCGCCAAATCTCCCACCACGAACAGGACCACTCCCCTTGAAGAAGGTAGCACATGCACGGTTGTCACGGTCGTTGATCCTACACTTGTTGACAAGCGTCGGATAGTGATAAATCTCTTGATAATTGATCGCTGTCTTCACCTCAGGACGAAGGTCATTCACAAACTTAATGCACTTAGCCCTTTCACCACCCTCACCATGGTAGTGAGAGCAATAACGAACAAGCTCATCAAACTTGACAGCATACTCAGCAACAATACCATCTCCTTGCTTCAGCTCAAGGAATTCCACCTCTTTCTGACTCCTCACATTGTCAAGAAAAAACTTCTCAAGGAAAACCCTCTTGAAGTTATCCTAATTAACCTACGTTGCTTCAGCCATCATCCTTTGCAAAGCTCCTTCCCACTAGAAGTAAGCATCAAATGTCAACATGAAAGTAGCAAGATTCACTTTTTGATTTGTAGGACACTCCATAGCCTTGAAGATTTTCTAAATGTCGATCAATCAGATTATAGCGCCTTCCAGATCATATCCTCCCTTGAAAGAGGGTGGATGATTACGTTGAAATCGCTCCAACCAGCTAGGAGCAACTCTAACTCTATCAGTCTCTATGGCACTTGCTAACGCTTGAAGAGCATCAGCAATAGCGTGATCATTCCTACCAACCATAATTCTGACACACAACAAAAAACAAATTAACTACCATATCAAGCAAAACAATTACATAATTAGAGTACACAGGAAAACAAAGCTAGACACATAACACACATGTCCGGTTTGAATCAACTAGGCTCTGATACCACTAAATGTGACACTCTATACCCCACATACCATAACACATAAATAATAAAATTTGAATAACATAATCTTTCATTATTAAAATACCAAACGTGTTCAGATAGAGAGCACCACATTCATAACTTAAACAAATAACATAATCAGCGAAAATTATAAAAGAAATAAGGCTAAGGTTTTCAAAATAATTTAATAGAAATAACATCCTAATCTAATCCTATCTATGTCTCGATGTCACATGTCCTATCAAAGCAAAGTCCAACACTGAAGCCTAAACTTCATCACCAACATCCTCAGTCTCATGCTGATGATCACCTGTATAACAACCAAAGTGTCGCAACCGATATAGCGATGGGACGGCAAAAAATTGGTTGAAAAATATGGAGTCGCCACCAATGTTGTTTTTTACGGAAAAACATTGGAAAAACCATAAATTAGAAAATAGTCTACGAAAATTAGATTTTTGGGTTCGGAAGTCGATTACGTGTAAGGAAGGTATTAGCACCTTACAATGTTCGTCTTAAGACGATTACCTTTAATTAGTTAAGCAAATTTATTATAACTTTTAAAATATTTACTTCACCCCACATCAATATAAATTAACAATCAAATATATAGTTTAATAAATGTTTTTTATTTTATTTTAATGAGTACTAAAATTATTTATATTATTATTATTAAAAATGAGATAATATTGTTATTTTTATTTTTTGGCTCGACAGGAGTTATTTCCTGCTCCTACGTATCTCCATGCGTAATGAAGAATCAGAGTCACGTAGTTCTTTGGTAGAAAATATTTGTGTGTTGGAATTTTTTTATTAATTTGTTTATTATTTTTCTTTTAAAAAGGTTAGGATTTTTGAACTGTCACAGCTCATACATCCCAAAATATAAAAATTGACAGAGGTGTACACCAAAGCCAGATATTTAATTATTTAAAAAAAGCATTATTATTGTTAATATTGTGGTACATATTTAAAAATATTTTGGTTAGATATTTTTATTTTTATTTTTAGGAAAATTAAAGATATCAAATTATCACAACTTGTATTTTAAATTTAAATGTTAAAAAGATATTACATCTAATAAACTATTTTTTCAATAAAATCTTCAAATATTTTTATTTAAAAGATGTGATAATACTTTTTATATTATATTTTGAATTTAAATAAGAAGAACTTTAAGATAACAAATTGTCACAA